TATGGGGCTGAAACTTGGACACTTAGGGCAGTAGATCAGAAACACCTGGAAAGCTTCGAAATGTGGTGTTGGAGAAGGATGGAGATCAGTTGGACTGATTATGTGAGAAATGAAGTGTTATTTAGAGTCAGTGAGCAGAGGAATATCCTACACAAATAAGAAAACAGAAGGCTAATTGGATTGGTCATATCTTACGCGGTAACTGCCTTCTAAAAGAAGTTATTGAAGGAAAGATAGAGGGGCGGATAGAAGTGACCAGAAGATGAGGAAGAGGATGTAAGAAGATGCTGGATGACCTTGGGGACAGACGAGGATATTTTCATTTGAAGGAGAAAGCTGTAGATCGCATCAAGTGGAGGAACTGTTTTGGAAGGGACTGTGGACCTGTCGTCTTGACAGATTACAGATGAATGAATGAATTATATCCAGAAATACTGTTTAGCCCACCATGTCTACTATCTGATGGGTACTCATGGACTTTTCCACAAGGATACAGTATATGCATCAAGCTCCAAGCTTACAGTATCACATCCAACCAATTCCACTGAGAAGAGTTCTTCTTAAGAAGCTGACAGTCACTCAGAGGGTGAAAAATCCCACATCTAAACTGTGGAACCTGAGATTTCATGACGATGTGCACACGGTCATACCATTAAACACTTTACTGAGACAGTTAAACTCAGTCCTCAACCTCCTTTATCCTTTAACGCACGGACTTTTAAATTGCCGGGAGCCCTCTGCGGCCGGTATTTAAATCGCCCTAATTAATTAACATTGCAAACTTTCAGAGAAAAATACATATTTTCCATTCTATGCAACATAGAAATACGAGAAATACAAACTAAAAACAGTCTGAAAGATAATAAAATTTTCTACATATACTCAAAAGAGCAATTTTTACAAACGAAAATTAACTGTGATTATTTTGTCATGAAATGCAAAATATAATCTTATATATATATGAAATTCCAAAGGACTTACCTGTTGTCTTTTCTTCAACCTTGAATCATGGTGATATGGTAAATATAGTCACACTATATACAATAATATTTTGTTCAGACTGTGCATGAGTTTGAACTGCGTCGCTTCACAGTTTACGATACACTCTGACGCACGTGGCACTTCTCGAAGCAGTCCACTTCACACAGAGCGACACCACCCTTTTTACAATAGAAGAGAGTGCTCCTGCTTTTCTTATTTAGCGAAACACACGACATCTTTGATTCCCTTTGGTTGACCAGTGTTGTGAATGTTTCACCTCCAGTCAACTCAGTTGGGCCCCTTAATAACTTTGGCCTTCCCCCGAGAAACGCCACTGACCGTGATATTCAGCTTGTGCGATTGAAGAATCATCTTGGGAGAGGGGGGTTTCTAGCAAAATCGAATAAATTATGTTGATTGACAAAGCAACACTCTCACCTGTTGGTAATACTCGCAAAATAGTGATTCAAAGTAATTATAATACTAGTCGAAAAGAGTGCCAGTCCGACACATACTGAAAGTCGCAGTGGCGAAGATGCCTTTTACTCACAAAGTAATACTAGCTCAGTGGGTTTATACCTCTTACAAGACAGAAAATAAAAATGATATATATAAAGAAATATATGATAGTCTCATACAGACTTTTTAACTGATAAAGAAATATTAGACAATCCGACACTGACTTCCTAACTGATAATTCGCCACTGAAAACCAATCCTTGCATGCGTCACATTCCCTTGAAGGCTCTGGAAGCACTCACATGCAAGCACCGATGAATATTTCCTCATCAGTTCTTGAAACAAAGCTGGGCTATATTTGGCTGACCAGGTCATAAAGAGTCATATCTAAACGTAAAACCAGTACCGTGACAAACGATTTCTTTGTTCAGAGCTAAGGAATGAACCACTGACATGACCTCACGTAGGTTTGTTTTGCTTTTAAACCCAAGGTCAAACTGTCAGCACTCCCAAAGAGAACATGTGTCTTGCATCACATATATGTGTCATTCGGCCAACTCCGGTTGCTGCTTGTGTCATATACTTGTATATGTGACATTAGCCCGTTAAAGGTTAACATACATTTTTAGTCAACTTTCCTTATTTATAAACAACAAAATGAGGATTACAAGAAAGATCACCTTGCAGTGGGTCTGTGTATCCTTCTCTTCTGAGTCTGTCCGTCTCTCTATGTACCCCCCCTTATTTTTGTTAGAAGATCACCTTGTATATACTATGAAATCATTTAGCTGTTTGTGTGTCCCTCCCTATCACTGTTAGGCAATGGGCCATCTGTGGGTTTGCATTTCCCCTCCCCTCTAATTTTTTCATTTTCTATGTGGTCCGTGTCATATCAAAGGAAAGTAGGTGATAGTTCTTCAAGAAACTTCTTGTAATATTACACTCCCATCTACAGTTAGGTTTCCCAATTTTACTCTACCGTCAAGATTTTCCGAGTAAAATTTTGTAAGCATTTTCACCTCACTTGACTACATGGAGCAGTCTTTATTTTCCTTTATCTGATCACCCTAACAATATCTGGTATAGAGCACAAATTCTGAGGCTCCTCATTATGCACTATTTAACACTGATAAGAAATACCTGAATGAATGTATAAGGGGTGGGCCTTCTTGCCCTTGCACTGCAACCACAGTGATCTACCGTGCCTAGAAATACCTGAAAATGGATGGTCTGGCTTCATGAGATACATCATACAGTCAGTTTATCTCATTTACGAGAGCATTATAATTACCACTACGTGTACTACTGAATGGGAACTTACGTGATGCAGTTGGTAGGGATAGAATGCTGTGACTGCAACAGAGCTATCTGTTGACTGTGGAGAACATCAATTTGCCGCAAGAGCTGCTTCTCACGAGACTGCAAGGCTTCAGTCAGCCTAGCAAATGATTCACGAAGTTTCGCTTGAACCTTAAACAAAATCATGGGAAGTAATAATTTCTTCAGTACTCCTAAAACCACACTTAAATATGACAACTATAATCGCAATAAGATTGGGTTATTTAATGATACCAGAGCCTATTACATGACACTGTCACAGCATTTGCTTGGGCAGAATGAGTTAAAAAGAAAGGAAAAATGCTGGACAAAACACCTGGTAACCTGGCTGAGTTCTGAACCTTAGATGTTCCACGTACGAAGTTCTCTAAACTATCACCCCAATAAATTTTTGAACATTTAATGTGAAGCTAGCTTACGAATTATGTAGCTATAAACTATAATCCCATGCCTCTGTTACTGTATTAAACATTCACTCAGTTGTGTAACTTCTTATGTCAAAATGCCCAATGAGAGTTATACACTGCAACAAGTGTTCATATACATTGCCCATGCGGGGGGGGGGGGACTCCATGGCCTGTAGTCCGCAAGTGAATTATACTGACCGAGTGACTGCTGCTTGTCGGCAAAGTTAGTGTCAATTTCTACAGATAGAGGGTGTTGCCTGGAGAGCACAATGGATCCCCACAGCAATTAATCTCAGTTTTCTAGAACGGAGCTGCTATTTCCTTGAAATAGCTCCTCAATTATCGTTCCTAGGCTGATTGGACCCTGTTCCAGACCCACTACATCTCAGAAAATCTGGTAGTGCTGGGAATCTAACCTGAGACCTCTGTAGCCAGGAACTCTGATCACTAGACCACAGAGGCAGTCAGTAAGGGAAATATTACCAACATCAATTTCAGGATGTTACCACTACAAATAAAACCTACTCACACAACTGTAAATAAATTTAGCCACACAGGGTGGTCACTGGGGGGAGGGGACCTGAATCAAGAAACAAAGTGCTTACTGAGAAGAATTTAGTGGTTAGTTTAAACATTCTTCCAAAAATCCCTTTAATGCACTGCAGAGGAAGTTTCAGATTGCAAGTTTTGGGTTTTGCTCTTATGTCTGAATTTCCATGCGTGAATGTGCAAGAAAAGCATGTGTAGTTACAAGAGCTGTTTCTGGCATCTGATGTGATCTGTTAGTCTAGTTGCCTGCAGACTATGCCATGAGTGCGAAAATGTGCAGTGCAAGTGACGAAAGTATCCTGTGTCCTTCTGACCCAATTAGCCCATGGATTTTCATGAGGCTCTCAGATGGCTTCCTTGTACTTCTGCTTTATACTTTGGGGCACCAGATTTTGATTCTTGTTTCAGTACTGAAGCATCCTGAGGTTTTTGTAGTTTTCCTCAGCACATCCATGCTGTTGCCAAAACAGTACCTCAAACGGGCAATTACACAACTTTCTTGACATGCACAGCCATCCTTTCACTCAATGCTATACACCAATTCAGTTAAAACATGTCATCAAATTACCCAAGAATCAATTGATACATGGTTCTGAAATCTTGTGTGGCAATGATATTTGTAAAACATGCAACTTTTCTTAATACTAGCTCCATGGAGCATGGTTTTTATTTAGAACCTAACAGTTGCTCAGCTAATCATGAAAATGAAACTAAAGATTTATTACCACATTCACAACAGCCCAGGCTTCTCTTAACATTATTTCTATTATGTGAAATGTAAAATAGAAGTACAACAATCATAAAAATATCTTCATGGCACAGGTGAGCAACTGTGGCTAGACATATGAAATTTCTTAAAGGTAAAGTTGTCCCTGTGCTTAACTAATTAAGCACTATGCCATGAAGACATATGGGGGAGTGGATGTATAGATCCACATTTTCTTGGCCTTGGCACTAGCTGGAGGTGAGTGGTCAGCTTCACGCCCCGGCCGCTGTACCCCCGGGTAAATAGCCCTGGTACCCATTGGATATGAGGTTGGGTAGACCCCAGAGCCAGTCTGGAAAATGTGGAGAAGAAAAAATTCTTGACCCTACTGGGACTCAAACTCGACCCCTTGGTCATCCAGCCTGTAGCTAGTCACTATACCAACTATGCTATCCCTGCAGGTGTAGATCATAACTATATTACAGATTCTGTATAAATATTCTTTTATACTAGAGATCACAAATACAATAACTGCACATGATAAAACTACATGTATGCTTATTTCTCTCAGCTCTTATTTCACTGATATGGCATTCATCCAATTATAAGCGAAGCTAAGCGTAATCTCTACTTTAACAAAAAACTTTTCTAGTTTTTCAAGTGGTGAAAATTTAGATCTTACTCACAAAATGATATATACTTAACTTTAAAATGAAGAACGAGAACTTACTTCACAAGTTGTTAGCTGCAGCAAATGGTGAGACTGTGCTAAGCTAGCTGCAGGATTTGTCACATCTGCACTACTGCCTGCTGGTGAGCTTGTCTCGTCCTTCCTTTCTATCATGACAACCCTCTGGACAGTGAACAATGTTAATCAATAATTTGTTCTTTATGAGATTTGAGATTTTCACCTAGAATATTCACATTCACCAAGCACTAACCTATGACAGATGAACTTGTATATACTGATATAATGATATAAACTCCGTCCCAAGTGCAAACAATATATTATGTGTCCTTGATCTTGCTCCTTTACACAACATGTTTCGGCCTCAGACGGCCATCATCAGGTGTATAACACTCAAACTGCTGTCACACTGCACCCAGCCCAAAATTTAACATTTAAAAACACTTCCCTTGCTATTATCAACATCTACTTTGTTGATATCTGTCTGGTTTGTAGATTATTTTACACACGTTAATTTTGACTTTCCTGTAGTAGCACTATAAAATCTTTAGTTCTAATTTTAAAATCCTTTAAAATTTTTCTCTATCATTTATCGTATAGAGTGCAACAGGATGCTTAAATATAATATTTTATATACTGAATCAATCAATCAACCACTTTATTTGTTCCAAGAATCCATATTTGGAGATACAACCTCCGGATGCAGAACAAGTCAATCAATGTG